CAGAATATACTTAGGAATCCTCTTTTTTCTCTGAAAGTTTACTTCAAAGTATTCTGAAAATACTATTCGATTCGATTTGCACTCACACTTCAATATTTGAATTCGCTTCACACCCAAAATTTTTCTATTCGCATGGCCCTAGATATGAGGTAATGAAAAAAAACCTTAGTATGTAACCTGATATTCGGTGATGACATTGCCTTGATGAGTATCTCAGGGTACGAATTGCAGCTTAAGAGTACTGAATTGAGCAAGGAAAGTAGAACGGCAGGTCTGAAAATTAATCTGCAGAAACTAAGGTAATGTACTACTTTGAGATAGGCAGCGAGGCACTGGAGGCATTGAAGTGGTACAGGTAGTTACCATAGAGCCAAACCATAAGACTGAAGTAACTTGAAGAATAAGAATGGACTGGAGCTCTTTTTGGGCGGCATTCTTAGGTAATTAATGGTAATTTAACATTGTTGCTCAATAGGAAAATATATAACAGCTGTATCTTACTAGTGCTTATATACAGAGCAGGAGCCCTGAGGCTGACAAAGAGGGTTCAACTAAAAGTGGGGACAACGCAGTGCGCAGTTGAAATGAAGATGATAGGTGTAACCTTAAGGGACAAGAAGAGAGCAGGGTGGGTCAGCGAACAAACTGGTATCAAGGACATCTTTATTCAAATCGAGAAGAAATGAGCATTGGCAGGGCATATAGCGTAGGCGTGATAACCACGAACTGGATTCAGAGAGAAGGCAAAAGCGGGAAGTGGAGAGGCAAAGTTAGGTAGGCAGATGAGATTGAGAAGTTTGTGGGTGTAACATATATCACAGGACCGGGGTGATTGGTGGAACATGGATGAGGCCCTTTGACCTTCAGTGGGCGAAGTCTAGATGATGGTGATGATGATGATGACTCAAAATGTGCTAGTAGGCTTTGCGGCTGCTCTTGTAAGGAGAAGAAATGTACTAGGCGAAACACGTGGCATCGTGCTACGCGAAGGTCATCAATAGTCATTTAAAGCTAGTTCTCCAAACAACGGTGGTACACAAGGACACACATGAGCTAGGAATCACAATCAAAAAAAGAGAAGTTAGTGCACCAAGTATTGGCCAATAAGGGTAAAAAATGTTGTGAAGGGACCACATTATAAAGTTTTAATACGCAACTGCTTTTGGTAAGTCCGCCAGCTGTTTTAGGGGCAGAAATGCGTCCATAATGCGAAAGCTTTGAAGCCTTTTCGAGAAGAATATATATACATATGGCTACATAGAAAACTGAATTGTGATGGCCCAACTTAAATTTGTTAGTGAACTCATTTCGTGTCGAGATAGAGGTGGGCAACATATGGGCCAGCACGTACACAGGCAGCGTCTCAGTGAGCACTTCTTGTTACTCTTCTAGCATCACAGCCTCATGGCATAGCAGAAATCTTCCCTACCGCCCTTTATGATCACGTGACAACTGGCACTGCAACTGCAATGCGGCCTTTGAGCGCTACGGGTCGGGGCGCCTCTCGTGTATTTACAAGGGGCGGCCAGATGGCCGCAACAAAGAAGGCTTTCATGGCTCCAACAAGGACTCTGAAACGGAAATCTCTTAATGTGTATCAGAGCCAGAACAGCCATGTTCAATGCACTTGTGCTGCACGTGCTATCACAGACTCGTACAATTTGGGAAAGTATAGCCGAAGTCCTAATTTCGTTCGCTGCTGTGTTAATAACACAGCCACAGTTTAGTTCTAGTGGATACTATAAAATCATTTTGATTCTTCTGACCTTCATATTTTTCTATCGTGGTAAATTTCTGCATATTACAAAGCTATCTACACTGCCTATGTACTTGTGTTTTAAGCATACTTCCAATGGCTTGACAAAAGGCTTATGCCGAAAAATCGTGTGTGAGACATTGCAATGACACTTTTTTATTTTTGTTAAATAAACTGAGGTACGCGCATCACTGAAGTTTGGTCACGAATCGCTGAGTTTTGGTCACATAAGCGATCAGCCAGCATCACAGATGAGTTCTCATGTTTAACAGCCGTAGTCAATTTCTTGTGACGCTTGTCATAAAAAGAAAGTGGACAGAAACATGTTGCACCTCTTTTGTTTTTCTGCTTAAGTAAGAACAACTGGTTGGTGTGTCGTTTTTTATTCACAGCACGACGGCAAACAGTGCGTGCACGACAGCAACTGTGTGGTAGGTTCAGTGGCCTTTGCCTACCGCGCGAAACAAAACACTCAACAACAGTGCCACTGCATTTTCGTGTCGAATGTCTAGTAGAATTCGTCTGTGCAGTCGACGACCGATTCTCCGGACCCTCAAGGGACCGTGAAAACGTCCGGAAATACGAATTCATCTGAATATGCACCTTTTGTTGTAGGTATTTTTCGCTGACAGAGAGGGTAACGGCCGTAGTACCAGATTCCCATTGCAGTTCAGCCAATGCATCATTTAAGTGGCTCTGAAGAGAGCCGTTTATAAAAAAAAAATACAACCTGGCCGGTGCTTCCTTATAGGTCAGCACCTGAGCGCAAAGAAGTTGCCTATTTTCTTTTGCACGGCGTTCTGCTTGCCCGCGATTATGTCTGCCTCAATTTCAGTCAACCTCATGTTGCCGCTCTACACCGATGACAGTGTCATCAGTGCTCGCGTCAACTCCGAGCTCATTGGCTGTGGAGGAGATGGCTCTTCGTTCTCGGTATCAGAGTCGTCAGAATCCTCCGTAACTTGACGAATTATTTCGTCATCGTTCAAGTCTGCACATAGTTTAAGGTCTTTGTCAACGTCGGCGAAGCCCCCGAAGGTTATCCCAGCTGGAATCGACATGCCGGCAGCGCGCAGATCATCGAAGGCAACATCCGCGGATGGAAGTTCGTCACACACGCTGTCAACTTGGGTCAAGATGGCCGTCTCGGCGTTGAGTGTGAAGCCCGCGTGGCGAAAACGCAGAGTCTCTTACATAACCGCCTTCCACGATTCCGCTAGCATGCCGACGGCAGACCTGAGGTCAACAGCGTAGCTTTTCCCGTTGTCAGAGCAGAGCACCATGCAGCTGAGCATGCGTGATTTCCAATGATGCTTCAGGTTCTGAATCACGTTTTGGTCCGTCAGCTGCAGGATTGCTGCGGTGTTCGGTGGCAGAAATTCAATATGTATAGCCTTTGGGTCCTTGATGGGGCCATGCGCAGCGCCGTTATCCACAAACAGTAGAACTCTTAGATTTTGCACTCGAACCATCTGTCCAGCTTGCGCATGTATGCTTCGAACAACTGCTGCATTACCCACGCCTTCTTGTTAGCTTCATAGAGAACAGGCAGAGTCACTGCCCCCTTAAAACATCTTGAATGCTTTGACTTGCCTATTACTAGTAACGGAAGCTTCTCGCTGCCTGACATGTTGCTGCCAACGAGGACAGTGAGCTGCTCCTTTCTGTGCTTGCTACCGTGGCAGGGGTCACCAGCAAATTCAAGCGTTTTCTCTGGCAGTAGCTTGTAGAACAGTCCAGTTTCGTTGCAGTTGAAAGTATAATTAGGTGGAAACTGCTGAAACAAGGATTGCAGCTTTCCATCTTGATATTCGGTGACAATGGAATCCTCGATGGCGCCGCTTTCCCCGCACATCTTCTTGAACTTCAAGTCATTGCGGCTCTTGAAATTGCGAAGCCATCCATCGCTGAACTTCATGCCCATCTGAAGTATGAAAACCTCTGCCTTCTGCTTCAGGATGTCGCCTGACACAGGGAATTTCTTAGTGATCATGGCACTGAGCCACACAACAAGCGCTTCCTTGAGCTTGGGGTAAACACTCTGGCTCGCATTCTTCTTTCCAGCCCCGGTTGATTTTGCTGCCACTTCCAAGATCTTCGCCTTGTTTTTAATAAAGTCTGAAACAGTTTGTTTCCAAATTTCGAACTCTTTCCCCACCTCTGCCTGCAACTGACCACGTTGGACCTGTTCAATGATGGTGGCTTTCTTCTTCATCGTGAGCCTACAAGGGGGCTTTGTGTGCATTGAAGGCATGCACGAAGATGAAGGAGCAGTCGGTGCCATTGCTGTAAATGCCGAATTCGCTCGACGAAAAGCGCAGCACGAAACAGCTAGGAACCCGGTGGATGCTGAAGGTCGGGAAACGTGATCACTGAAAATAGCGCGCAGCAGCAAACGATCAACCGCAGACACGATCGCAGAGCTGACAAAACCACACGTGAACGAACACAGTGAGGTTTGGCTTCGCTAAGCTACGGCTGGCAACGGATTGACACGTGCGGTTTCGAGGTTACGGCAGTCGCGGCACGGTGAGACGGCGGTGCTGCTGGCCATATTTGCGATCCGAGTATGGAGGGTTTGAGGATATGAAAACAACCAAAATGGTGACAGCCGTGGTGACTTTGGGTCGACGGTTAACAATAAAAAGTCTGTGAAATGGGATGCCGAAGGCTGTAAGTGTCCGGAATCTTGGACTTTTTGATACATTGACACTATTTGAAACTTAACAGTGCCACAGATGAGTTCGAGAAATTGAGCATGTTCAGAATTTTGAGGGTACGGGAAATCGGGACGTCGACTGTATATATAAAGTAGTGTTTCTGAAATAAGATTAGTTGCCAGTGTAGCCAGTGTCATGTCTTTCTTGTCCCGTTTGTCCTCATCAAAAGTGCGCTACTTCACCATACAGTATGATGACTAGGTAAAACAAAAATTTAGGTGTAGAACTAGCTCGTCAGAGTACAACATTTCTGAATACGTGCCAACTTTTTATTGATTTATTTCTTCTTTCAGTACATTGACAAAACCATGAAAATTCTGTAGCATAAGACATCTGTCTGTGTGCAGTGATGTTAGCAATCCAAGTAGTGCCTTGCATTTTGTCTCAAGGGCTTACTGGACTTTTGTGCTCTTGGACGGATGTCGCTATGCTTAAAAAATTTATATGAAGGTCCTTTGAAGGGGACTGCACTTAATGGTGTACTTGGGAATACATTTACACCTGAGAGCTTTTTTTTGTTGCAGGGTCATCTTAAGCCACGCAAGATGAAGGCTTTGCTGAGGGACTTCAAGGTGCAGCCACTAGCAAGTCTTGAGCAAGCCAAGTTGAAAGATCTACGGCCAGGAAAAAACACTGGCCTTCTGCTCAGTGTCAGAGTGGCCTGCAGTGTCCTCTCACAAGAACGCTTTCCATTGTAAGGTCATGTGCAGTCTCATTACAATGACCTTTGATCTTTTTTGTTTTATGGCTTCCAAAATCTGTACAACCATTGGGACTATGGACACCGACTTAAAGGGACACTAAAGAGCAAAACAATTTTTCGCGTATTAGCAAAGTGTAATTTCACTATCTCAAAAACACTACTCTTACCAAGCATTACACTTCGTAGGTGAGAACGCGCACGTAAATAAGATGCAGGTGGAGACGCTGCCATGAGATTCCCACACCAAACATCGTGACATAGATTTTGAAGGCGTCCACTGGGTCCTGCATAGCTTGTACTCAATGAGAATGAAGTACCGTATATACTCCAATCTAAGCCCGATGTTTTTTTGTTTTTTTTTTTTCGAAAAAATGATGTGTGAAAGGGGGAGGGGGTCTGCTTAGATTCGAGTACCACAATTTGGCCGCCGCTGACACATGCCTGAAGGCCAGGCCGCGCTAGCGGCATTACAGCCCTCAATGCGCTCATCTTAAGGTACCGGTTTTGCATGCCGGAGGCTCATTTTCATGACATTCTACGGTAGCTGCGTGGTGACGAGGCCGCTCAGGCCTGTTCAGCGGGTGAATAGTGGTCCCTATCGCTTTCGTATGGTCCATTGTCCCAAAATCATGCAGTCCCGCTCTCACGCAGCAAGGGAGCGAAGGTCGTCGAGCCGGCGAGGTTTCACGTTTTAAAAGCCATGCAAAAACAGGAAGACGTGGATCGTGTCACATGATTACCGCCAATGGATGGATGGATTGACATGGCTGTACCCTTTAGATCGGGCAGCGGCTGACGCCACCTAGCCCCAATACTTAGTGAACAAAAACTGAACTTTTTTAAAAACGATAGTCTTTCTTAGGGACCTTCGACGCAAAAATTTTTGTCTGTCTGTACATTTGTCTGTCCACTCTTACCGGCATCGGGTACTTGAAACGGCCAACCCCATCCGCAGCGACCACCAATGTTGCTGAAGGTTGAGCATTCATGCTTGTGCAATTGTCAATTAAAAAGCAATTATTGTGCATGTCTGGGGCACCATAACAACACGCATATATTCTGCATATGCATCTCTTACTTGAAAACGCATACATAAGTAATTTTAAGAACTGTAGCGCTTATCAGATAACCCTGTGCTTATCATGCAACGCTTGCACGGAACGGGGAGTGTTTCCAATGCTTTGCTAAGACGAAATGGTGGTGGCACCTACCCGTCGCCTCGCGTTCTACACCTTATCACCTCTGAGACGGGCGCGCACGGCCACGCGCTTTGTTTTCCAAAAGAAACTGCCAGATGGCGCTCATGTCTCACGTGTGACGTGACTTGATGCGCTCGTTCGGCTCCGCTGCACGCTCGAGGCACTCTAACTCAGCGCCTCCGGAATACCATTCACGAATTTTCTTGCGCAGAACATCAAATAAATGTTTTGTTCACTCTCTCCACACGCAAGATTATCGTCTTTCGGCGACATTTGCAGATTACATGCAGATACGCGGCAAATTTTTTTTTCTGTGTTGCTCAGAACACCTGCTCTGTGTTTAAAGAGAATAGAAATACCAAATTTGCTTATCGGAGTATAAAATGAAACAAATTCTCAGCCAAGCTCAGTTTCCAAAAAAAAAAATACAGAGTAAAATTCAACCCGGCTGTTGCCACCTTGGCCTCCTATCGACTATTGTGTGGCAAATGGTGTGGAGAGGAGGCGCGGAGTTAGTCAATGGTCATTCTTCTAAAAGCGATCGTGCAGTGTAGTTGTGCCTTTTGCTTTGGAAACGCCTGTGCCAATTGTGCTTCATATTTGATGGCATCAACCAAGCGGTGCTACTACAGCGGGGCGTTTAAGCCAAAGGTCGTGTTACATGCGGAAAAGACATCGAACCTACGAGCGCAGCAAGAGTTCGGCGTGCACGAAAAGAATGTGCGACGATGGCGAAAACAACGTGCGGAACTCTTCGGTTGTGCAGCAACCCCCATGGACTAAAAACCGGCCAACACCATGCGGTGAAAGAAGTTGTCGCCGATTTTGTTCGAGAACAGAGAGAAGCGGGATTGCCCGTGGCGACTGAAATTATTCACGCGAAGGCCAGAGAGGTCGCCATCGCCAAGGGTGTCTTACGAGCCTGTTTCAAAGCCAGCAGGGGCTGGACAACACGCTTTATGAGACGGTTTGGATTCAGCCTGCGATGACGAACCTCCGTGTGTCAAAAGCTTACGAATGACTTCGAGGAGAATCTTGTGAAGTTTCAGCGGTACATTATGGTCAAACGGCCGACCAGACCCCGGTGTTCTTTGACATGCCGATGAGGTACACCGTGAACGAGAAGGGTGTGAAGGAAGTGAAGCTCAAGATGCTGGGTTACGAAAAACAGTAAACGACGGTTATGTTGTGCTGCACCGCCGATGGGCGGAAACTTCCTCTGTTCTTAATTTTCAAACACAAGACCGTACCAGCGGACGAAAAGTTCCCCAGGAGTGTTCTGCATGTTCACGAGAAAGGATGGATGTCTAGCGGTTTAATGGAGGAATGGGTGAGAGCAGTCTGGGAACGCTGCCCAGGGGCCACATTGTCCAAGCACTGACTTCTAGTCCTTAACTCCTACCGCGGCCATGTGACTGACGGTGCCAAGACTACGCTTTTTTGTGCTGGTACAGACATCGTCATAATTCCTGGTGGCATGACCAGCCAACTTCAGCCGCTTGACGTCACAATTAATAGGTCCTTTAAAGACAGGCTTCGTAAGTGCTGCATTGACTGGCTTACATCAGAGAAACGCCAGTTCACCTTAACTGGGCGCATCAAGCGTGCTTCGCTCGGCCAGCTGGCAAACAGGATCGCTGCGGCATGGAATGAAAGCCCAAATGAAATGATAATAAGAGCTTTCAAAAAGCATTGTATCTCCTATGAAATGGACAGCAGCGAGGATGATGCTCTCTGGGACGAACTCAGCAACAAAGAAGGCAGTGATGTTGCGGACGATGATGACGACGACGATGAATAAACTTATGTACTACATGCTTACGGAGTGTGCGCTTGAGTAAGAATAAAGGTTGTGTTTTCTACCAATAAAATGGTGTTCTTTTTTTTATTCCAATACGGCCTACATTCAAGGAAAGTTTTTTTTTTATTTCTGGCCTTACCAATTTTGGGTGTCGGCTTAGATTCGAGTATATATGGTACATTGTCATCTGTGGGTGCCATAGATCTAGCCTAGTAAATTTCTGAAAATTTTATTGAGCCAATGTCGCAAAAATATAAAAAATACATTTTGAAATTTGTTAAATCACGAGCACAGATTTTAGTACTGAATTTAGAAATGAAACTTCAACCTTGATTTTCTTCACTAATAATGATCTTATGAGAGTGAAACTTGTGGCAGCAGAGTTCTGAAAGTGCAAGTAATCAATCTGAACCCAGTCATTGTTTCCCTTTAGTGCCCCTTAAATAATAGCTACAGCTATACACCCAAACCTCTATTTAATGAGCCAGGATATGACGAAATACTGGTTATAGCCAAGTGAATTAAAAATAGTCTTGCAATAGATATAGCGTAAGGAATAAACCTTTATAATGAATTTTTGCATATAACTTATTTTTGTGCGAGATGCAACTTTGTTAAGATGAGGTTTCAGTGTAGTTCTTTTATTGGGGGTCAGCGGGCAGTTATAATGAGTGCCTGCCTAGTCTGTCTGCACATTTGCTAGATGCAAGGCACCTTAAACTGCTAGCATCGCACAATCAAGGTCACATGCAACATTAGCACTCGTAGCCGGGATGTTGGAATGAGATGTTTTTTTGTTTCCTTTTGGCCTAGTTCCACCATAAGAAGTTCCATTACGTTTCTGTTCTGGAGCGAAAAAAAAAATTCTCCATAATGATTTGTAATGATTTTTATTTGTATTTGAATCTAAATGAACAATAAAAATATAGGATTTCATATATAATAGCTTGCACTCCTCTATAGAGCATGGTACAGGAATGAAATGTATTCTTCCCATGTTCTTGAAGGGATGCTAAAGAGAAACAGTGACTTGGTTTGGTTTGATGAATTGCACTCTGCAAATACTAACGTCACATGCTTCACTATCACGTGTACATTGTTAGCGGAGAGAATTCATTGTTGAAATTTCCTGTTTAAATTTGGTGCCGAAATATTCGCGCATGACATCAAAAGTTTCTAAATGTATTTTTCGTGTTTTCGCCACATTGGCTCTATGAAATTTTCTGAAACTTCATATGCTAGGTCTAAGGCACCCACAAATCACAATGGTACTTCATTATTATCGATTAGAAGCTTTGTAAGACTCTGTAGGCTTTTCAAAATCTATGATGTCATGGTGTTTGGTGCGATAATCTCAAGGAGTGTCTTCACCTGTGTTTTCTTTTTGCGCATTTTCATGCTTACCAAGCATCATGTCGCGGTTTTCGGGATTGTGAAACCGTACTTTACTAATATACGACAAATTGTTTCGCTCTTTAGTGTCACTTGAAGAAAAGGGCGAGTAATTGTAGCGCGAATTCTTGCCAACTAGTGTAAATCAGTACCATTATAGGTCCTAATATTTAATTTTTTCAAAAGCAAATTAGTAATTTTTTTAGCAGGCCCAATGTTTTTTTCAAAGGAGTGAGCATGATCTCACAAGCCAGTCATTGAGTGTGCTCTGATATGCAAGACTGCTGCTCTGATAAAACTATTTTTCGGGCCGAAAAAGCCCTCCCTATGATTGCCTGTGTGACAGGCACACGAAAGTCCATTTGTCACAATATAGACTGCTCATTTTCCACAAAATTTAAACATATCTTTACTTTAGAATTTCTGCCTGCGGCCAACTAATTCTTTACCCTAAAACAAGGATTATGCATCTTATTACCTAACCTCGATTGTTCCACATCACAAGGTTTTCCCCTAAACTTAAAAAATAAAAAAGAATTTCAGTTTCACTTCAGAACGAAATCAAAGATAATCTAGAACATTTGGTTACTTTTCCGTTT